ATTGTAGACTTTCTATCGTCTAGGTTAAACTAAAAATCAACATCTATGTAACTGATCAATTATAGTTAAATACCACCGAAGACAAGACAACAGTCTTTAGTTCTTTGTAAGTATTTTATTATGTTCTTCACAGCTATCAAGTGCCATTGTCCTATGTTGGATTGATATCTACTTACTACACTAACGAACTGAGTAATGTTAGGTTGAGTGCAAAACATAACATACATAATGCTCCCTACAACAAAGGCCTTAGGTGGCATTCTTTTGGAGAAAGTGATTCCATGTCCAAAAGGAATTAATTCTTTCTTGGATCTTGCATATTGAATTTTTTTTACTATTTTGTCAATGTAAGTAGACTGAGACAATCCAATTAACTACTTCGATCTATTCCTATAGAATCAAAGTCCCAAGATATAAGAAACTTCTCGAATAACTTTTATTAAGAATTGTTGTAAAAGTCATACTTTCAGTGTTGTTAACATTCATGCATCATTCCCAATGAGTAGAATATCATATAAATATAAAAGTAAGAATGCAATCTTGTCTCTCACTATCTTTTTTGTAAACATTGGGTTCATTTGGATTTTTCTCAAAATCAAATTGTTTGACTATTGAGTTAAATCGGATGTTCAAACTTCTATAAACTTTCTTTAATTAATATATGAATCTATTGATCTTACACACCATGTGTTCCTGACCCTTGGCAACAAAGCCTTATGGTTGTTGCATATACATATTTTTAATAAGATTTCCATTCAAGAACGCAATTTTGACATCCATTTGCCAAATTTAATAATTATAGAGTGCAGCTATAAACAACATTATCCTAATGGAATAAGCATGGCTTCGGGCGATAAGGTTTCATCATAATCAATTCCTTCTTTTTGAGTGTAACATTTCACCACAAGTCGAGTTTTATAGGTCTCAACATTTTCATCAGGGCCATTCTCCCTCTTGTAAATCCATTTGCAACCGATAGCTTTTACCCCAAAGGGCAGGTCTACAAGAGTTCAGATTTTATTCGTATCCATCAAGTCTATTTCGGCTTTAATGGCATCTACCTACTTCAAGGAGTCCATATCTAACATGACTTCCATATAAGTTAAGGGATCTTCCTCATTATACATGGTTTCCATCAAGTAACTTTCTTGATCATAACCAAAATGAATAGGAGGTTTGGACACCTAAGTAGATCTTCTAAGTTGGGTATTGGTATTTGGAACTTGTGAGTTATTTTCTACTACCCCTAAGTTCTACTCATCTAGAATGATCTCTTGATGATGATTGCTTAGGATGTAGTCCTCTTTAAAAAAGTGAGCATTTTGACTAACAAATACTTTTTGTTCTCTTGGGTCATAAAAGATATATCCAATGGAATTCCTAGGGGTAGCCTACAAATAGGTAGCAACTTGTTTTAGATTCCAATTTTTTCATACTTGTCTTTTTGACATGTGTCAAACAATCCTATACATTAAAGTACCTAACACTTAGTTTCTTGTCAGTCCAAAGCTCATATGGAGTCTTGGGAATTGACTTGGCTTGACTATGACTCAGTTTAGAATGTAAATCATAGTCTTTAATGCATGCCCCGAAAAGGATATAGATAATTCTTAATGGACGAGGAATGATTAGATCATGTTTAATAAAGTTTGATTTCTTCTTTCTAATGAACTATTTAATTGTGGTGTAATAAAAGGAAACAATTGTGATATAATTCCATTATGGTTTGGGGGCTTTTGATGCAACACAAGATGAACAAAGTCCAAATGGTCTACTACCTACTAGCCCCTCTCTTAATAGCACATGGGACCTTAACTCTAATGCAAATGGTGTATGCCAATAGTGAGTGCAATGAAGAATGCAATGGGAGATATTAAAAGGAACAAAACTAAAATCTCTTTTTTTTTTTTTTCTCTTCCCTTTTCCGTATCACCAATCTACAAGAACAATGTTGTAAGATCTTCAAATCATTCCTGAAGTAATAAAACTAAAGGTTTGATCAATCTTTAGGAGAGTTATGTTAATTTAAGTTGAATTGATTTATGTTCATTCTTTATTATTTATTAGTAAAAAGTAAAATCTAAGTTCCTATCCTTAAGCTGAATTATTTTCTCTTGTTACACCTGAGACCCAATCAATTTTATTGGAAAGCTAACAAACCCTAGTTGCTTGAATTTTATTCAAGGTTAAGCCGTGGAATTTAAATTACAATGCCTACTTTCTTACCTAAAGAAAACCTTAAATCTCTCTCCCAATTCCTACCCCACACATTTTGTTTGAGTTCCAACATTCAAGTTTTAGATTTCCAATTATGTGACTTGTTCCCCATTAGTTTAAATGATTATCAAAACCCCCCATTATTTAAACTCAAGCAACCCAATACCTTCACATGAATTGTTCATTATTCTTGGAAGTAACTTGTATATCATATTTCAGCATAAAGCCTCATCCTAAGGCAATACTTTCCTTCAACTATTGATTCTAAAAGCTTGCGAAAAACAACATTTCAGCATGGATGAACTTCCTGAAACATCATTCTTATTATTTCTTGGCATGGGCATTCACATTTCAACATTGACATTTGAACCTAAAATCATCATGCTTATATGTTGTTCCAAACTCGTCATTAAACATATCATTTCAGCATTGAAAACAATGCCCAAAATCCACCATGTTCATCATATAATGAATTCAAAACCAACATAGAACTTCAAATTTCAGCATAAGGAATGCTTCCACAATCATATGTCACATCTTGGGATAAAAAAGGAACACTCAGCACCTGCAATTTCAGCATAGGACATGCTTCAAAAACCATTGAATCCATCATGCATTGAGTCCAAAAACCATACGAATCTTACACCATCTCATGCGAAAATCAATACTTGAAGAGATCTAACATGATAACAGCCCATAAGATTGAGAGAGAGAGAGAGAGAGAGAGAGAGGTACTTAACTCTTTGGAAGTCTCAAGCATCAACTATGACCATTAAGGCAAGAATCCATGTTTGTCCAGGGAAAGCTTATAAAATAGCCCATTGGCAATCATTGAATTTGAGTATATACATTATGCTCACAAAACATGGGGGTTTAGAATCCTCTCACCCATTTTGTATGTCAATTAATCACATAAAGAAACAATTGGAAAGGAACACACATGTGGGATTTAATCTTCGTCCCTCTCTCTCTCTCTCTCTCTCGTTCTAGAATTCTCAACACCCACAAACCTACTTTCATCTTCATACTCACTCTCTCTTTTCAAATTTGGGTTGAATTAGGGGATAGGGATAGGGAAGATGCAATTTGTTGAGTCTTACATCCTTCTCACATACAATTTGAATTTCTCTTTCATCAAAACATGTAATTCCACTATCCTTTTATTGACCTTTATGACCCAATTTTAAGAGTAGGATTGATTGAAAATATGTACATATTCCATTTATCAATGTATATACATATTTTATACATATAAATATGTACATATAATTAGGAAAAATATATTTTTATATAGCCTGCTTGGGTTGGGTTGGGCTGAGCTCAAGTTAGGCTCAAGCTACCCCAAGCCCAACCCAAATTTAGATTAAGCTTGAATTTTTTGGTCCAGGTCCAGCCCACAGCCCAAAAACTTGGGCCCAACAATGCAAAAATTCAGATTGGGTCGGGTTAGGGCCCACCCAAGTTGTACCCCTAGATGACAGGCATAAAGACAAAAGATCACATATGAGCAAAAAGAGGTGATATTATGAATGCTCACTTACTAAAACACTCATAGTTTAACAGATTAACAAAACCTACCTACAATTCACATTTTACTAAAATACCCCTTATAATTTACAAATTACAACCAATTTACTTCATCAATCTTCCATATTACCATCTAATTAAATTGAGTTGAAAATGCTTAGAAGCATGGGTCATGGTTATTTGTTCCGAAAGTACTCCTTCCACTTTATGTCAAACTTTTAGAAAGAAAACCCTTCCCTACAACAAAACTTAGAGGACAATGGCGTCCAAGCTCTACATCTACAACATATCGTCCTCCAAACAGAAAGCAAAACTGACCGAATAGAGTTGTCCGATCACTTTATTGAGAGGCAAGAATGACATTTTGAGTCAAAGGAAATTTATATAAATCAATTGGAACAAAATAATGTCTGGAATTCAAAAGATTGTGCCGCCATTAAAGAATTAAGAGAATCAGAGAAAAATAAAAAAAAAAAGATAATCAATGCTTGTACCGTTGATTACTTGAGAATGAATGGTTGTGCCATTGAATAAATCAACGGCACAACCAACCTGAGATTAGATAATCAAAGAAAAACCAACCTGAGATTCTGCACTTTGATCATTAGAAATTAGAAACTAAAACATACCCAAGTCCTAAATGATTGGGTGTGAATTGCCCTAATCCTATTGTAGCTGACCAGCATTAACTACAATAGTCACCGGTGTTACATCGCTTCTTGAACGGTGACAGACTGACTGTTCTCAAAACCTCAAGCTGAACCTCTTTTTCCTCTGTTTCCTCTGAACTCTAAAACCCTAAGGCTGTGTCTGATTTGAAGGAAAAGGTAGAGAAAGGCAGGCAAAGGTAGGAAAACATAACAAGGCAAAAATTGCCTAGATAAAAATGCTGGGATATAGTTGGAATTTTCAAAAATTTTAAACCTAAAACATATAAATATAAAAAATAACTCAAAATATGAACCATCACCTAATAACGTGATCGGATCGGCTGCCCACAGAGCACACCGCACAGCTGATCCCCTCCGTGCACTGGGAACATCTCCCATGCTTGTAATGGGGAGATATTCCCAATGGACAGAGGGGATGGGCGGTGGGGCGCCTGTGTAGCGTGCTCTGGGTAGCCGATCCCATCTCCCTAATAACTGGGTCATCCGGTTTGACAGTAACCACCCACCAGTCTGTAAACAGCAAAGAAAAAAGAGAAAAACAAAATAAAAATATAAACCGTAAAGAGAAAAGAAAAATGACAAACAAACACAATCAATAAGTCTGACTTGAGATAAAACATGAAACTGTACAACCGGAGTACAAGCTAAACCAGATAAGATATTGTATTAAAAAACATACAATCTGACAAAAGGCAGTTTCGGATAAAATGCCAATGCTAGCCCAGTTTACAATGAAGATTTCTGGCACTATCAAAAGCTGTAAAGTGTAAAGTATTACATTGGCATTGACCCAAATCTTTGTGTGTACCCTTGAGCCAAATCTGAAACATTATTGTCACATGTTCTACAGCTTACAATTCCGTGCTATAGTCCTTTTAGCCCATAGATCTGCCTAGGCAATCACTTGGGTATTAGTTGAGTGCATGGCAACAAGAGCAGCTATCATGAATCTCATATATTGCTTCCCTGAAGTCATTGCCCCATACACAACAGAACCAATATCATAAGGATACAAGATGGTCAAGAGGCACTGACACAGTTCTCCCAAGTACCATATCTCGAGCTGAAGCTTCCCCCACCGCTCTGCTGGGCATATTCAGAAACTACTGCACGAGCACAAATATCCCAAGTCTTTGCCATTTCCCAAAGTGACATTGGTTGTGAAAGGCTGCGAAGGGATGCGCTAAATCTTGACTTTGCTTTTACTGAAAGATCTTCATACTCTTTGCTGCATCGTGCAGAAACCAAGATTTCACATTAGAAAGAAAGAAGGCATTCCCTGGAAGATTACTTTTAGGAGAGGAACACTAAATGAAGGAGAAAGAATCCCAAAATATGAGAAGACAATAGACAAAGTTCCAATCAACAAAAGAACTTTGCATCCACTTCAATGGACACTGAGATCGCAGTGCAGGAAACCTCTTTGACCAGTGAACGGAATTCAAAGAACAAAACCAGCAGAACATAAGATACTGAGTTGAATGCAGTCTCTCAGAGGGACACCATACTTGAGTTGGATGCAATTTTAGAGAACCATAAATAAAACAATGCATGGATTCTTCATTGTCTTACCTCAGTTCAACTGGCAACCTGTCCAATAGTATAGGGGAACACTTCGGATAATTTGTTGGAACAAGCAACCGTATTGGTAGAATCGGTGACTGCACTAACGGTAAATGCATAATGAATACGAGCAAAACGAAGTAAAAATATGCTAAGATAAAAGGTTAGGAATCAGAAATCCAACCATCTGTGCTGAAGCATACTGAGACTTCAAGTTTGGACTGAGAGCCACAGCACTGAAGGAGCATTTAACAATGGTACCCTCACCACCTTCAACCACAGCTGCCCCTGTAGTCGGATCAATATCCTCGTCACTAATATCCACAACAGTATCTATTAACCGCTGGTTTGTCTCCCTGATTTCTTCCAAGAGAGCATGGTTGGCCTGCAACAAAGCAGCATAGGAGACCCATTACTTCCATATAGCATAAAAAAGATAAACAGGAAACTTTATAGCTGGATGAACAAAATAACTATTCTGATAATAGGATCCTATTTGGTCACAAACTCGCCTGGTTACCAGTGCTAGACATGTTCTACCAGAATCCTCAACTATACTGAATAGTAGCTAACCTTATAATTGAAACATTTTATGAGTAATTAACTCCTATAAAAATACAAGTTGCCGAACAGGCATCATACTCCAAATCTTAACATATCTAGACAGATTTCTACTTTCTAAGGAATTGGGAGGATCATTTCATGGAAGCTAATACAAAGGCGCTCTCCTTTATTCAATCTTGATGAAACTCTAGTAGTCTCAATGTTCACTATATCTCATTAGCCATTAATTTGAAAATATGAAGTATGTAGATGCATTGCTAATCAAGAAGAAAATGAAGACATTCAGGTGTGTTGGAGGCCTATTGCCTGGGCAATAGCATGCAATATAAATATAAACATCTTAGTGAAGAGATAAAACATGGTTGATGTAGAATAGAATATATGGATAAGTAGGAAAAAGAAAAAGTAGGCGAGAGAAGAGAAACAGAGACAAAGATCATGAGTTGAGATATGGGCTCACATTCATCCTTAATATTTATACTGTTGGACAGTTTTGTATGCCCTTAGCTTCAATCAGAATGATGTACTTTATGAATTTATTGTAAATGAATAAAAGTGCATATTTGATTCATGTTCCTTTGGTATGTTTCTGTGAAATACCCTTAAACAGGACACCTAATGAGACTCGTGTTAGTTTAGAATGTTCACAGCCAGTGGGTCGGTCTGGGGAGACTTATCCTGATAAGGCTGACACTGTTGTGCCACCAAGTCGGTTGGGGTGGCCTGTCTCAGCTGCAAGGGTGAGACCCTAGGCACATACAATGTAGGATTAATTGAATCTTTGAACTAGACCAGATTTCCAGTGTTGCCCTGAACCTTGGATATTAATGGGCAAAACTGGAAATTTACACCACCCCTAGACTCGATTATGATACTGCACTAGGTGTCAGATTGGGCTGTCTTTGATGTACCAATCAGTGAGATCCTTAGCGGGGGTCAAAACCTGGGTATGTTGGGACAGTCTAAAAATTCATCTGAGTGGGTGATCATAGTGATAGAATCGGCCCCTTTGTCAGACAAAGGTAATGATCAGGGATGCACTCTCACTGATGGAAACCAAGACTGCCGGCATCCGATTTCAATCGTTGAGATTTGTTTTGCAAAATATATTTTATATGAGATATAAGAGTATATATATTATGGTTTGTAAAATGTTTGTAAGAAGGTTTTAATTCCGGGGATCCATATAAGTAGAGAGTGCAACACTGTTCCTAACAGTCGAGGGAGAGGTCCTCTCTTGTCGGGTAGTGTTTGATCATTATGGGCTGAGAGGTTAAGTGTAAGACCATTGAGGATAATACCTAATGGGCTAATCTTGCATCTGCCCACARTCCCTGGGTGTTACAAGGTGGCTTGGCCCAGGGACCACTTAGGGTAAGTGTTGGGCCCACAGAGCCCATTTGATGGGTTTCAAAGGGTGCACTGTCCATAGCAGTGTATTCGGCCAGGCCTTGTGACAAAGGCTGGGCTGAACCCATGTGGCTGATGTGTAGATCAATGCTTGGTTCCCACGCCATATAAGGAAGCCCAACTAGGCAGCAGTTAGGAAGGTTAAATGAGCACATGAGCTTAATGGGCCTAAAGCCCATTTCGAACTGGACTTATTTAATAAGTTAATATGGGCGAATTCTGAGATGGATTAGCAGATAGGATAGGGACTTAACCCTATCCACTCAGAGAGTCCAGATCTAAATGTGATTTGGATCTGGAAACCTCCTAATAAGATTATGAGAAGGTTGATCCAATCTGTAGATAAGATAAGGGTTTATCTTTATCACCTGAAGAGATGTTTTGATCCAAATATTTGGATCAACAACTCCTAATTGGATTAGGAGCTGATCCTTTGGGGCTACAAATAAGGAGGGGGTGGCAGCCTTTATAGAAGATATACTCACATCCTCTTCAGAGCTGAAAACACAGAAGAAAGATTTCTGCAATCCCTGCAAAGATCTTTCTTGCCGCCAGAAAGATTTCTGCAATCCCTGCAAAGATCTTTCTCAACAATAGTCTCTAAGCAAGCAAGTTTTGTCTTTCAATTTTTTCCTTCTGTCACTCTTGAATCTGCTACTTGGGCCTGTACTTACTGGTCCATCTTTCAACTTCGAGAAGACCTTGGCATTCCCTAAGGATTTCAACAAGCACTATCTCAACAACCCATCTTTTCATATTTCCTGCTTCTTCCTACCAAGATCTTTTCCCAATTTCCCCACTAGAACTTCTGAGAAAAAAAAACCTCTTTCTTCTTAGAATTCTTACCAACTTGATCACTTGTAATAATCCTCTTCAGCAATTACTGACCTCAAAACTAAAGTCAAAGAAACATCCAAAAGAGAGACCTCATCTAGCTCTAGTGAACTTTGTTCCTAAAATCTTTAACTTTTGCCATTGTCTCTCCCTCAATCATAGACAGGGGGAGAGCAAACCCTACCTCTCCGAAGCAAACAACCTGAAGGTGCTCTTGCTCCGCCCCTTCCTATGTTACTAGAATCTCCTAGATTTTTTTTTCTTGGCCACAGTTAACATCCACAACATTCGAATCAACAGAAAAAGGCAAACTTTCCATTGCTTTGTCTTCTTGATAAGGACCATCTTTCAAAGAAAAGCTTTCTTGTCTAGGAATGACTTAACTATTTTCCTAGTTGAATTTTGTTACCACCCATTCCCAAATATCATCAGATCTCTTTCTCTTCGACTGAACAGCTATACTAATCTTCTTCTTCTTATGAATGCATTTGAAATTCCTCTTAGGGATCAACAGTCTGTCATTCCTAGTTGAATTGCTAAAGCTCAGTCGTGTTGCCAAACTGCCTGTCCTGAAACGAGAATTTCCCTTTTTCTTCCCACTGATCCCCCCCTGAAGATAAGAAAATAGACCAGCCAAAGGGTCTACCGAAGCAAAAGGGCTCTGCTCACATGCTTTCTAAAAGAAAGAAAACACCCAACTTCTAAAACCTTCAACCCATAGTTTACTAGTCCAGGTCTTGGCCAACCAACTTTACATCTTGAGACTAAAGCTTGCGTTGCGTTGCATGACCACTTGACTTGTTACATAAGCCCTTTGAAAAAGTAGCATTTACCTGGTGGTTCAGATAGAACCATGTCATTACACGACCCCTTGTTCACCTTAGCCTAGGATGGGTCCCACAATGGAAATGGATCCAAAGTGGCCCCCTTTTGGACAATATCAACAAAAGATGGACAACTTACACCCAAAGGGCTAAATTCAAAATTATTTGAGAAAAGTTTCCTTCCCAAGCCAACCTCAATTTTACCCCCTTTGACCAATTGCTTAGCTTCTTTTAAAGTCTTCTCAGTCAAAGCACTTACTCTCACCACTCTTCTTTAACCAAGTAACCCCTCAAGTGCGAACTCATCATCTTCTCAACTCTCTCCACAATGTCATAACCCATTAGAGAGGACTTCCAGCGAACGAGGAACTTTGTCGAGCTCGTTCACAGCTCACAGATTGATCCCAAGTCCCCTACTCAAACCAGATATTTGGTGGGCCGAGCTCGAGCTCCATAGTTTTTTGGTAGGCCGAGCTCAAATAGCCAAATATTTGGCTCAAATCCACCCCTACCCTCTACCATAGTTGTTAAGGTGATGACTAGGGTCACCTCATTTAAGCACCTAGCTTTTTTTGTACACAACACTACAAAACATTTTTATATTCTTTATTTTTTGTGATTGTAATAATAAAATTTACATTATCAAACTAAATTCTTCATTTCGTGGATTTATATACTAGTTTCTTTTTATAACTTTCTTATTTGCTAAGGTTCAATTAACACAAATTTTCTTTCTAACTTTTTTTCTTTCTTCTTTTTCTTCTCATGAATATGTTGATTTTCTATGTTTTAATATAAAGTTTATACTTTTCAATGAAAATTATAGATAACTATTAATGAAAGATGGTTCTGGTTGCTGTGTAACTTAGAGAATTACCCTAGGATTCATGGTTTTTATTTAAAAAAAATCCACCGCCTTGGCAACCAAGCACCCTCCTTGTTGCTTAGCCTCACCTTGGCGCCTTGAAAACTATACCCTCTACAACCAATTTTCTTTACTATTTCAAATGTTTTACCATCTTGGGGTAAATCTATAATTTGTGCATTCAAGTCCCTAAACCTTTTTTTACCCTAACCAAACTCTCCTTTGTCCTAAATCTCACCTAAACCCATCCTAACCCTCCTAAACTCACCTATAGGTCGTTCATGCCCTACCTATGAGTTGTGTAGGTGATAATTCTCTATATAAAAAATTGGAATAATTTAGTGTGTTTCCTTAATTGGTATACCTAGAAAACATCAAAAGTGATCTAAAATAAAAGAATCAAGCACTAAAAGTAGAAATAAAACAACACCATATATCCTCTTTCAGATCTAACTCACCCTACACAACATGAGTTTCATCCATTTCCAACTCCCTCTCTTGAAAATATTCTTCTGAAACCTCTTCACCTCTTCCTTCTACTTCTTAAATAGGTTTTGTTCTAGAATTTCTGATCCCCAAACCCTGGCTTGTATTTTCTTTGTCCACCAGCCCTTCATTGAAACCATCTTTCACCATCTCTTCTTTGACAGCTTGACAAGTGGAATGTCTATAAGCACCATGCATGAAGTGGAATACCAAAACCGTTGATCCAAACCAAGCTTTTACAACCCACTTTGCTTATTGATCCAACCAATGGATTCCACTCTCCTGTGTTTAACTTTCTAACTTCTCAGTTGCCATTCAGCATAGACCCAATTCAAAACTTCCTCCACTTCCAACTCAAAATTGACAATACGAGCTACTAAACAAGCTTCTAACCACCTTACTTGATAAAGAATATTTCCATCTGGACCCATGACAATTCATGTTAAAAAATTAAGTTACTCAAATACTCAATCAAGAGTAACTTCTGGAAATCATACTTAATGTCTCATTCACCAAAAGACATGCCCTTAATATGATATTTTCATGTTGGTAGTTGGTATACTTGGTAGAGATGAAAATGTGTTTTATTGAAGGCTGAAGTTACTAAAATAAAAAAAATAAAAAAAAGGAACAAAAGTAGGGGGTGGGGGGAGAGGGAGGAAAATCAGGATACCACATAAAGGTCAAATCAGGTGATTGAGAAACACTGAAGACAAAACTTGCCTCCATTATTTAGAGAAAATAAGCAACAGAAATCAGGACAGCATATGAAGAGTGGAAACAGGAGCATATCCATGCCATATCCTTGCTATATCTAGATAACGTAGGTCATATTCATCATATGGAGATCTCAAAGTACCAATAGTGTTTGTATTTTTTCTAAATCTCCTATTCCCCCTGCCCCCCCCCCC